TGTCAGCAGCAAAAGTGTCATCTTTACTTTTTTTTTTTTTTTGTCATTTTCACTAAACTTCTTCAGAGTCTCCAATTCGGTTTGAAGGGGAAGAGGGGAGAGGCGGTGGCAGTACCTGATGAAGGCGATAGATGGTTTTATTCATTTAGCATAACACCTCTGCCCCTGTGTGAATAATGATCAGCATCGGTGGCAATAGCAGTAGCAGTAGCAGCAGTAGCAGGAGCAGGAGCAGGAGCAGCAGCAACAACAACAACAACAACAACAACAACAACGGTAACAGTAGCAGAAACGGTAGCCCTGTAGTGTATCGTGAACCCAAATTTCCTCTATTTACAAATCCACTCATCTCTCGTATCGGCGACTCACTGTCGCCAACTTTGTTAAACATTTTTTTTATGTTTCTGTCAACAAAATACTTCTTCTTGATCAAAAAAAGTTTTTTCTTCGCAAAAAAAAACCTCCCCGACATAACTGATGCTTTTTTCGCATTCAAAAATTTTATGCAAGGAAAAAAATTGAACTTAAAATAAAGGTAGACAAAAGAGTATTGAGGATCAATAAAGATATTGAGCCCTCCTCCAAAGAAAAAAAAAACAAGAAAAATAATTTTGAAGAGAAAGAAAGCAAAGAGTTTATTAAGAATAACTGAAATAAAGTAAAAAAAGAATTTCTTTTTATAAGAGAATAAATTTTTGAACAAATATATAAATAAAATTAAAAATTGAATTATTACAAGAGAACTGTAGAGCACAAAAAAAAAAGAAGAGAAAAAAGCTGAGCACAAAATGTCAGATGACTCAAGGTTTTTTTTCCAGTTTTGTTTCGTTTTATCGTTTTACTATGGATAACAGTCCAAACTAATCAAAACCAAACACAAACTATACCAAACCAAGACAAATACTTTTTTTTCACTTATTAATTTTCTACTTTACGCTTGGTGCTTTTAAGAACAGCTTTTGAAGTTTTCCTAACCATATACAGTTGGCTTTTCTCCTCTTATCATTTTCCCTATTAATTTTTTTAGTTTCTGTAAAAATTGCTTATAGACAATTAAAACTAATTGAAATTAATGATGAATACGTAGAAAAATGAGTAAAAATTAAGCATCAAAAAGAAGCTCAAAGGCAGAAGAAAACTTTTTGTTCTTTAACTCTTTCTAATGCTGATCTTTTTTCCGGTCGCCTTATTTCTTCTTTTTGAAAACAAAGCGAGATTCGAAAACTTCCTTTCTTTGTTGTTCGTTTTTTTTCTGCCATTTCAATATGCTAAAACAAAAAGCATTGTTTTAAATAATACTATAAATTTTTTAAACTAAATAGTTGTGAGCTAATATTAGATTTCCAATTTACAGGTAACCTATAACCAACAGACTTTTAACTAAAACTATTGCTGTAAAAAACTAATTTGTTGT